CCCGAAATAAAATACGGCTGATCCGTAGTGTTCTACGGTACTGAATTAGGGAAATCATCACAAAATATACAATAAAGCAAACCTCAAATATGCGACCAAAAGCCCTCAAGCAAGCGAGCCAAATATGATGTCCAGAGAGATCCAAACAGTTGCTCACGTTCTCTGACCGCGCCAAATTCAAATGTGGCGGGTATAGAATTAACAGATAAATAATAATGCACAGTGTTTGTGATTGAGAAATGTCAATAGAGAAGCAACACACAAATAGAGTTATATCAACCTGAATCATCTTGGGTTTGGAAAGATTTCCAAAAGACCAACATGAAATCCAGTCAGCACGCCTCAAGTGCAGGTGAGCACACTTTTCGATGTTGACTGGAAGAACCCAGGTATCCACCCACCGAGCCAGGTTGTTCAGATAAGCTTGAAGAGTATTCCAATTCTCCGCTCCCTCGGTTGTACGCCAGATTTTGATGTCGTCGCGTAAATGAGGGATGGGCTGCACAGTTGACCGGGAAGGTCGTTCACATAATCCACAAAGAGCAATAGTCCAAGAGCCGAACTTTGGGGGACCCCGCTGGAATTGGAATACCACGCAGATAGTAACTTACCAATTCGAACGCAGAATTTCCGGTCGATGAAAACGTCTCGCAGCCGATTCAGTATGATCACACCTACACCCAGATTGGACAGCTTTCACAGAAGGCCGTCGTGCGGTACCTTATCGAAAGCCTTGCTGAAGCCCACGAAGATGATGACTGTTTCGTGTCCTTTGGCTTAATCCTCGGTCCAGCATTTGGTATTCGTCGATGATCTTAGGCTGAAAGTTTTAGAATTGTATTTCAAATAGTTTGGGTTAGTTATATGAAAGGTGCAGTTCTTATCGATGGAGTTTGGGCCCATTTAATTATCAAGATTTAATCCATATAAATTATTCGATATTAATTTTATTTTTTTGTGGTAAATAAAATTTCTTTTAATTTCTTTTGGTTTTCCGCTTCCTCAGGGAATCTGAAAATATTGTGAACGTCTCGAATAGGCGAAAAAATGTTTTGGCGACAGATGTCTCCAGTTTGGATTTTTGATCATCGTTTGGATAGTGTGAATTGATCAAATGACCTTAAAAGTTTCTGAATCAATAATTAAAACAAACTGGCCGATAAGCTTCGCGACTACGATGGTTGTGTTTGTGTTATAAATCGTCCTCGGACTAGTATTTCTATACGTATCGGATTCCGTGCACTAATAGTCCGACCAAGAACTAGGACTCGAAACGAAACCAGAAGTCAACTCAGAGGCGGAATGGAATTGTAATAGGCGGAACTTAGAAATATACAAGGATATCGTGTTCAATAAAACAAAAAGTTTCAGGTTCATGAGCAATCACCACAGTTTGACTAGTATAGACGGTGGTATAGAGGGTCGCTCTGGATCTGCGGTGGTGGACCCGGACTGGGAGACAAGGGAAAAGGCGCTAGATCGCTGCGTTGGACTGAGGGATCGCGCGCAGTGGGGCTGTCAATGAAAGTCAGTTTAAAGCGGTCTTAACTAAAATTCTACCGCTTACTACTTACCTTGATGATGCCTCACTTATCTTTACTTGTGAAAGGGGCTCGCAATGGCTCTGGGGTGCTATCAACGCGAAGGAAAACGTGATTGCAAGCCGAAATTTGGGAATCTAAATGGGAACGTTCTGCTGAAGCGTGGCTCCGGCGTGAACCTCGCTGAGTCGTTGCGTGGATTCAGCGTATTTGAAGTTCCCCAAGCGTGTCGGTGCGACGAGTTCCCCGGGAAGGCGCATTGTGCAGCCGAAAGCTGAAGCGGCTGGTGTGGTGTGCAAGTTGGCCTTTATCGTGCTACAAGTGCCCAAAAGAACGGGAGTGGGTTTTGAGGGATGCCTCAAGCTGACGATGAAAACGTTTGACAAACTCGTTAGTTGCAGGGTGGTACGCGGTTGTCCGGGAGTGAGTGCAACCAAGTATATTGAGTAGGGACTCAAATGCTTCCTCAAAATGAGAACCCATATCGGTAGTAATGGTCACGAAGCATTAGTATGTAGCGACCCAACACTCGAAAAAGGCCTTAGCGACGGATTCGGTGGTTCAGTTTGAAAGTGGAATGGCCTCAGAACAACGTGAAAAATGGTTGACGCATGTCAAGGGGTATGTGAAACCTCCAGATGGCGGCAGAGCGCCAACCAAATCGACGTGCATATTTTGGAAAAGTTCAGTTGGAGAGTAAAAAACCCCCATTGGATTCACAGTGTGTTGATGCATCTTAATCTTTTGGCACTCTAAACAAGGTGCTGCGTCACGGTTCATTTAGGGACAGACGAAATTCAGAGAGACTAACTTAACCGAAGCTCGAATTCCAGAGTGAAACAAGTTTTTCAAGGTGTTACAGATCTGCTTTCTATAAGATTGTGACGCTTCCGGAAGAGGGGTGCCAGTAGAACAATCACACCAGATGTTGCCGTCTAAAGTAGTAAGAAAAACGAGCTTGAGTTTGAGTGAGCTGTTCCTCTTAAGAATCTCCAGCTCGGGGTCTGATTTTTGTACATTAGCGAGTCTCAACAGATCTTGAAGTTTCAAATTCGTACTAGGGTTTGATGCTTGTGTCCAATGCTCCCGGTTCTGTATTTGTCTTGTTTTCTGCAGTTCGTTGCACGAGCTAAGGGGGCTGTTAATAAAAAAGCGAGCTGGCTCCAATATGGTGCCGCATGGGTTGAGGGTACATGCATCGGGAAAAAGTTTGAGGAGGAAAGGGAGTATGTGAGAGGAGGAGGTAACAGGGACAAGCAGGATTAATTGGGGGTGTACTACAGAAGATCGAGTCCAATTAGATCTTGGGGAGGATAAGCCTTAGGTGTGAATCTAACAGGTTTTAAAGGCCCTTTTGGGGATGAGTTCACAATCTCTGGTGGAAGTTTGTTCCATTCTGAGATGATCCTGTGCGTGAGGAATTTGGAGCGAATGAGGGCTCTAGGCCGGTGTTTGGAGAGTTTTCTTGAGTGTATCCGAAAATGTTCCAGGCTAGAGCGTGTGAAGAAACGGGCAACACGGACAGGTGAGAAGAGACCATACAGAAGAAAAAGATCACCTCTGATACGTCGTGTATGTAGGGAATATAGATTCAGCTGCTGTAGTCGGGCAGAATAAGAGATTTCTGACAAGCCGTGTGCTAGTTTCGTGGCGCTTTGCTGCACACGCTCTAGAGAGTCGCGGTTGAGAATAAGACCACAATATAAAATTTGGCTGCCATATTTTAAACGTGAGGAAAGAGAAAAACCTTTTAAGAAGGGTTAAGATACGAAACGCGGTTTTACTGGCTTTTTGGTTGTGGGATTAAAAAAGAGATTGCTATTCAGCCAGAAACCAAAAACTTTGTGCTGATCCATCAATTAGATTCTGGTTGAACCGTTCGCCCGGAAAGTTTGACCAGAGCGTTATCAAAGGACATGCTTGAACATCTTTCGTCATTGACTGGTAAGCTCTAGTCGTCTGACCAATTTTTGGTTGGTTGATCGTCGACTGCACTTTAGATGCGTCTGTGCCTCAGATAGTGGTGACCACATACATGGCAATTTCTACAGGGAAACGTTTAGGGAGGTCATCAATTTAAATCATAAAAAGGTTAAGACCTAGTACGGAGCCCTGTGGGATTCCTATTGAAACCGGGGAGGGTGAAGTAACGGCTGTGCCTATTCGAACCGTGAAGGAGCGATTCGACAGAAAACTATTAAGTAGGGAGAGCAATCGGCCAGTGATGCCAAAACTCTCTAGTTTGTACAGGAGAGGAATATGTGGCTTTTCTTCGGAAGATTTGGCAAAGTCTAAGAAGATCGCTTGCAAAATATGACCTTCGTCATAGGCACGGGTTAAACTATCCATTACGGTCAGCATGTTGGAGATATATGACATGTTGGGGAGGAAGCCGTGTTGGGAAGCGCCTACCAAATCATTCTCAGTTAGAATACGCCGTTTAAGGAGGCGCTCGAGGATCTTGCTGGAAATGCTGGTTAGGCTGATAGGCCTATAGCTAGTAGGCAAGTGTCGATAGGTAGATAGGGATAACAGTTGCCCTCTTCCAGTGTTGTGTCCAAGCAGTTTTGAAAGAGTTGGGCATATGTGGCATCCAACATGTCCGCGGATTCTTCCAGTATACGGAGGTGGATTTCATCCGGACCCATGGAGCTGAAAGAGTTCACGCGTTTCAGTTGTTCTTCCATTTCTGAGACTGTTGAGACTACGTGATTTAACGGGGATTGGTAGGTTACGGGATGGAGATTGGGATGACTGACAGGAGAGGGGATGTTAAAAACTTAGTCGAAATGGAACCGGAACATTTCCTCTACTTCTGCAGATGAAGTGGCTAGAGTGCAGTCGGGTTTCGATAGGGCTAGGGCGGATGGGGTGTTTTTCCGGGTTCGTCGCATGCATTTGTACAAGACTGACCGGTTTACCCGTGCCCTGGCTAGAGTGACGTTCTGTTTGTTGATTTGGAACTCTCGGATCCTTGCTTTGCGTAAATTGCCAATGTGGATGAAGCTGTTGGCATCTTCCGTCAGATCAATCCATTTTTACCTAGAAAAGGGCCGCGAACGTTCTTCTGAAAGACGACGAATAGCACGCGGTAAAAGGTGCCTGTTTAAGGAGGACTTGCTGTCGCGAGGCACCAGCAGATGATCCGCAGTGCGGATACACTGCCCTTTATTATCTGAAGGCGTAACTAGGTTGATGCGTGACAACACATCTGCGACAGGATTGTGCGCACCTGAGACATGTCGTATATCCTAAGTAAACTGAGTGATATATTCTAGGTGGTCAGACTTTCTGGGAGAGTACCTGTCGGATTTTGAGCAGAGGGCCTAGATGAGTGGCTTATGATCGATGAATACTACAAAAGGACGGCCTTTGAGCGTATGTCAAAACTGCCTTATTGCGAGGTATATGGCTAGCAATTTTTAACCAAAGTGCTATATCGCGATTCCCTGTACATTGTTCCGCCCACCGTCTCTCCTTATTTTACTCCTTGATCGTCCCACGTCCAAAGATTTCACCATTTATCTAGTATAACGATTCCTGTTTTGTTCTATTCCCACTGACATGCTCTGTTAGAGTACTCCACCATCCCCACCATTTTCCTCAGTGACATTGTCCGCTTTGTGTTCTATCTGTATTGCAGCGTTCAATCCCGTTAAGTTGTCTCTCGAGTCCTTCCTAACCTCCAAGCACCAATGCACTGTAACTTTCAGATATTTTTTGCACCTTTCTTGTAAATATGATCACGCTACTGCATGCTTTACTGGGGCTTCGCGAAATATGTTTTCATTATTATTATTATTATTATTAGAAACTAGAGGTAATATTAAAGATGGCTTGTTTCAGGCTAATGAATGCCCCACGCGCCTCTTCTGAGAACGTGAATCTTTTGGAGTTCCTACGCAAGAGGTCTGTTAGCGGTTGCATGCGTTACGCACACCTGAGAATAAAACGCCCATAGAAGTCGACTAACCCATCGAACTGTCTGAGCTGGTTCAGCGAAAGGGGTTCAGAAATGGCTAGCACCTTGTCGTGAAGAAGTGGCACGCCAGATTCGGAGATACGGCGACCTAAAAAGGTTATGATAGGTTCTACGAAAGAGCACGTTGCCGCGTTTATTGTGACGCCGTGCTCGTGGAGAAGTGTAAATAGAGCGCGTAGATGAAGCTCGTGCTCATCCCGAGTGGCGCTGGCTGTGAGAATGTCGTCTAGGTACGCGGTGTTATATAGACCATGGCAGACCTGGTCGATGAAGCACGGAAATGTTTGAGCTGTATTTAGCAGACCGAAGGGCATAGGCAGAAACTCAAACACACCAAAAGTTGTCATCTCCTCGGTCTTGAAGACCTCCTCGGGACGAACCAGGGTTTCGGGGTATGCGCGAAACAAGTCGATTTTACTAAATACTTTATAACCCCCTAAACTAGCTCTGATATCTTTGATTTTAGGGATGGGGTAGCGATCCGGTGGTGTGGCGTAGTTCAAAGCGCGGTAGTCACCAGACAGCCTTCAGTCGCCGGGGAACCATGTGCTTTGGTGAAGCCCAAGGGCTGGAGAATGGTTGGATCATTCCGAGATCCAGCATGTGCTGAAATTCAACGCGGGCTACTGCAAGCTTGTCTGAGGCGAGGCGTCGGGGGTGGCAATGGGCCGGTGAACCGTGATTATATGATGGACGATATCTGTTGTCACCGGAGGTACGGCGTCCCGCGGTTTGCATAACTCCGGGAACTCGGAGAGAACCGCTAAGAACCTGTCGGTGGCGTCTCACAGGTGGTGAGACGATGGACGAATTTGTCAAAGCGGATCAACCCTGAGATTGAAGTGTCGGAGAAAGTCGATACTGATGATGGATTGTGGAAGGTAGGTGATGATACACACTCAGGATAAGCTGGGGCGGAAACCAAGGTTCAGTTTGACTGCACGCTCGCCAGAGATTTTGATGGGTGTGCGGCTCGCAGCGACCGGTTCCAGTATAGAGAGACGATGGAGGTCAGCTGGATGAGGGCGTATGACGCTAACCTGCGTCTGTGTCTACCGGGAAACATATATCGGTGTTTTGGTCGGTGATGAAAAACAGGCGACTTGGGTTCGGCGAGTCAGACACGGTGGTCACCTGGGCCGGCAAGCTTACCGGTTTGCCGCTTTGGGCATATAGGTGCTTTGTGTAAGGCACCTCTTGGTGGTGTCACCGTAGCGGCAGTGATGCAAGCAATCTTCAGTCGACGGTGAGCGCGAACGTGAACGCCTAGTGCTACGGCTCCCATGGTTGGAGCGT